ATACACATACACATACACATACACATACACATACACATACACATACACACACACACACACACACACACACACACACATACACATATACATATACACAAACACATGCCTAGACACATAATGAATATTCTGAGAACTGAAATTATCTTTAATGTCTATTCATTTATGGAATGAATTTCCTCTACATGTATCAAAGCTCTAACTGTGATTGCCTTAACTTCTTGGGAAACTGCCTGTAGTTAGCCAACCACGACAGGCTGGCTTCATGCTAGCATTCGAGCGCCAGCCTCTGACAGCTTATGGCTCGGGCATGGTAGGGTATTGCTTCCATCTTCTTGTTTAGTAGAAGTCACACAGGACTGTTCTGCCACCAACATCATGTATCATTCCAGGCAGAAAGAAGCGAGGAGTTGAACATAGATGTTCAAGAACTCTATCCAGAAACTTTATCATGGAACTTTTGATCAGAACAGGAGTGTTATCTATCTCCAGTTGGGAAAGCAGGGAATAGGGTTTATATTGCTTCTAAACAAAGTGCTCTTCTATGAGAAGGGGGAAAAATTAGTGCTGGATAGAAAAATACCATGGTGTCCAATGTACAGACACGGACTCCTATGAAGAAGATACTGCTACAGTCATAAGTGTAGAAGAGATTACACCAAACTGGGTGCTTAAAACAGTGATGTGGCTTTAATATTTTATATTAAGATCCTAGACCATATGTATGTATATCAAGTAGTACATTACTCAGTAGAAAAGATTTTTTTCATTTCTTATTATTACACTAGAACATCGTTCTCAAAGAGAAGAGTGAGTGGTGGAAATGCATAGGAGGCAGAAGAATTTCTTAGGATGTGTGCTGGGGATGCGGGTCGGGAGTGGGAACTGTACCAAACATAATACATCCTCCTCTGAGAGCTGGAGGGCCTGGGCCGCATTTCCAGGGTAAGTTAAACACCCTGAGGCAGTTCATCTTGTACGTCTGGCACTCAGTGTCGCAGACACATGTGAGTTGAAGTGACCTGCAGAAATGTGGAGGGCATGGTTTCATAGAAACTATCGTTACTAAGTTCCTTTGTCCCCAGTGCTTTTTTGTCAGAAGTGAGGTGCATTTCAAATGCTGACTGTGAGTGTTTTTTGTTCACATCTCTCTCCAATTAACCTGGTATTTAATTATCAGTGGAGAAGTGGCTCTCCTTCAGAATACTAGGATGTCCTTTCAGCCTTTCAAGTCTGTTTTCCTGCTTCCGAGCGCAGAATAGGAATTTGTCCTAAATTCTTGTACCAGTTGGAAGAACTTCAGCACCTCTGCTGTTGTGTGACAAGCCTTGGAGGTTATATTTCCACTGGGAGGCATGGCTTGTCCTGTTTTGTAGCATGGTGAATTTATTTCCTTCAGGGAAATCATAGTTTTTATGAGATCACTGATATTCTCAGATTGAATTTAAACACACTAATGGGAAACAATGAACCAGTGACTTAAATAATCGTCTTTTTGTTTTGTTTTGTTTTGAGGCACTGTCTTGCTATGCAGCTCTGGATGGAGTGATACTTTCAATTTAGCACAGGCTAGACTGGTACCTGTGATGTAGCACAGGCTGAACTGCTGAACTTGTACTTGCAATGTAGCACAGGCTGGCCTCAAACTCTCTGTAGTCCCCTTGTACTGGTGTTTTTATTATACTAATGTACCACTGCTCCCAGTTCTTTTCTGAGGTTCCTCTTTTTAAAAAGATTCTTACGTTTTCATTTTATATGTATGAGTATTGTCTGTATGTATGTCTACGCATAAGTGCCTCGTGCCCAAGAAGGCCAGAAGAGGGTGTGGGATCCCTAGGAACTGGAGTTATAGATATTTGTGAGCTGTCACTTGGGTGCTGGGAACCTCTGGTTCTCTGCAAGACCAGCAAGTGTTCTTTTTTGTTTGTTTGTTTGTTTGTTTGTTGGTTGGTTGGTTGGTTGGTTGGTTAGTTGGTTGGTTGGTTTAAGACAGTTCTGTGTAGCCCTGGCTGTCCTAGAACTCACTCTGTAGACCAAGCTGTCCTCAAACTCAGATCTGCCCTGCCTCTGCCTCCAAGTTCTGGGACTAAAGGTGTGGCACTGCTGCCATCACTACCCTGGCTCCAGCAAGTGTTCATAACGCAAGTGTTCATAACCACTATGCTATCTCTCCAGACTCAGTGGGCCAATCTTTAATTCAGGTTTATGCTCTGAGCCAGAAACTTGGGAAGAAAATCTGTTCTGGTTGGAATTATTAGCATACTTACTATAGCTTTTCAGTTAACTCAGGAATGTTTAAAAGACTCTTATGGAGGACATTACTTTTTAAATTCAATCAAAGTTGCTCTTTACAGCTGATCTTTCTCTGAGTAGAAGGCCATTTAGAAAGCCCTTTTAACCATTCTCCTATGTAAATGATTGTTTGTCTATGTTCCATGACAGCCAGTTGTTCAAGATATTTGAATTACCTTGGAGAGAGTTAAGAACCAGATTATTTTTTAAAAATATGAATATTATTGTACAATAAAGTCAGCCAAGATAAAGATATACTTTAATAGAAAAACTAGTAATAAGCAACTGACTTTGTGCACTTTGTTATTCTTCAATCTTCATAATAATCCTATTATTAGTTATTAATCTCAGTATAGAAACAATAAAAACACCGATTAAGTCCAGAAGCTTTGTATGATTAACTAGTGAGTCAGAATCAGAACTTGGGCCATCTGACATTAGCTTTTTGCTACTTAAAGTGAGGTCATTGAATCAGCAGGCCAAGGATCATCTGGGAGCTCCTTACCTGTGAAAAATCATGGACTCCGTTCAGAGTTGATGAATAGGAAGCTGTTCTCAGCAAGGTCCTCTGATGATTTCTATGTTCACTGAAGTTTGTCAAGTACAGATGCTCTTATCACCTCGTACACTTTCACCATGTAACATCCATTCGATTTCTTGTATCACAAACACTGTTGACATCATTCATATGAAATTCAAGTAAATGTGACTTTTCTTATTTAAAAAAAAATGCATGCAACAACAACAATAAAAAACCCCACAATGCATGCATTGTAAAACCTGTGGCAGGGCAGGATCTTGTGGTTTTGCTGGAATTGGTAAATACTAGAAAAATATTTCAGAGACACCATTTTCCCTTTATGTTTTCACTAATTAAATCAGCTAACTTTGTGTATGTGTGTGTGTACACGTTCATACATACATGCTTGTGCATGCTGGTGAATGTTCATACGGTGGCTGGAAGTCATTGATAGATATTGTACACGTGTGTACACATGTTCATGCATATGAGCTTTGCATGCTGGTGAATGTTCATACAGTGGCTGGAAGTCACTGGTGGGGGCTTCCTCAATTGCTCTCTACCTCACTTTTCCAGACAAGGTCTTTCCCTGAAACTGACACTCACTCACAAGCTAGACTCACTGACTACGGAACTGTAGGACCTGCCCATCTGTGCCCCTTAGCTTGCTGCTCTCTCAGCACTGAGACTGTAGGTGTACACCCAGATGCTGAGTACCAAACATTAGGTTCTTGCACATGTGCCATCTCCCCAACCACTCAAGTAGTTTTTAAAAGGTTATGTTGCTTTAGTCTTAAGAAAATGATGAGACATAGTCTTTCTTTCAAACTGTCAACATAAATCTTCCACTTGAATATAAATTCGGAATGTACAGATACTGCTGACTTTTGTTTCATTTACAGACATGGAGTTTTAGTTCTATGTTTTGGTACGATGGCATCCTTGAATATCTTATAGATGAGATGGTCTCCGTTGTGGTTTCTGAAATCAGAGCATTGTGTTTATGCAGCATCATTGTTATCCTTGGATAGAGATTTTGAACTTTTGGAAAAGTAGCAAAACACTTTAGAGATCTGACTCTGGATTCTCCCTCGGTTGACAGCATCACAGAAATAACGCTCTATGTGCTGTATCCATGTGACTGTTCTCTCTTTTACATTTCATAGCGCTGGGATATGAAACTCCGTCATCTTGGACTGGGTAAAACTGATGCTAGCGATTCCACTCAGAATCAGAAGTCTGGCAGGAACTCTAATCCCCGGCCAGCACGCAGCTAAATCCTGAAAAGTAAAAGGCCACACCCACGGACTCCCTTCTAAGACTGGCGTTGCTGTACTACCAAAGGAAAACTGCGTGGTTGCGCTCCCGACCTGTCTTTACCACAGATATCGCGTGGCGATTGATGTCAGTTCCGGTTCCTTTTCTCCCGCTTCTTAATGGCCTGGGGTTAGATCCTTAAACATGCTATATATTCTGTTTCACCAATCATGTGGGAACTGTTCTTTCAAAACCAGAATAATAAATTAAATTTGTTGATGGTAAAGTCTCTGTACTGGACTCCCCGGGTTTTAATTTGGTGTTCTGTGCCCCAACTGAGAATGCAATATTTGACGTAAAGAGAGAATCTTAGTAATATCTCAAGAACTAGATATTGCTGTAAAACAGACTCTGCTGCTGTACTCGCAGCCCTGTGTTTGTATGCCTTTGGGTATTTCCTTCATGCTGTGAAAGTTCTAAATGTTTATAAAGGTAGAATGGCAGTTTGAAATCAGACACTGCACAAGCAGAGCAGCGCAACACCAGGAAGCATTTATGAGAAAATGCCACACAGCATGAATTATTTTCAAGATTGGCAGGCAGCAAAATAAATAGTGTTGGGAGCCAAGAAAAGAATATTTTGCCTGGTTAAGGGGCAACCTGGAATCAGTAGCCCTTGAGCCATTAACAGCAGTGTTCTTCTTGCAAAGTTTTTGATTTGTTCATAAATGTATTAATGAACGTTAGAGAAAAACTTATAGCTAGACTTCTGTTGTTATCACTATAGCTCTGCTTCCTTCTGAATCAAACCCATTGTTGGATGCTCCCTCTCCATTCATAAATAAATTTGACTAGTTGTATTGATCAAGAAAAGAAAGTATTAAATTAAGCATGTGTGTACACTAGGGTGTTATTTTAAAGAGGTATGTAACTCTATAAAAGACTATTAGTTTACAGGACAGTGAAATGTGCACATTTGTTTTCTTTTTTTCTTCTTTTTGTTTTGGGCTTGTGATTTTGGTTTTTGTTGTGTGTATGTCTGTATTTTGGGGGAGTGGGTTTAAGCCATTGTACATCCAAGTGGAACTCTACTAGAGTTGACTAGGCTCATTGGTCTAGACATTACGATTTGAATTTGTGCTGTTTAATGCTCGGTCAAAATGTCTAATAAAAAGAATTATGGTTGTCAGGAGAGACAACAACAACAAAAATATTTTTCTTACTCACGCTGTAGTGAGACCCCCAACAGCCCATGGGGAACCCATGATGCATTTTCCTCCTTCCTGCAGCAAGGATCGTTAGAGCATGTGCCCATCACCTGAAAGTCTCATTTCCTGCAGTTTTACACATGTGGTAGTAGTAGATCCAGATTCCTAAGCTTCATTGTGCTGAAAATAAAACATGTATGAAGCAAGCAGTGCCATGTTTCCTTCTGTAAGAACAGCCATGCATGGATGAAATTCATTCTCGAGTGGAGATTTCCTATGTTGGTAATTAATAACTCATCTACATTCTTTCTTTTGGAAGAAAAAAAACACCCTCATATTCCAATGAGCCCTAAACACCAATATTTCTCCCAATTTTAGAAACAGACTTCCATGTTTGTTTCTAGGAGGACAGCACAGGCTTGGATCTACTATGTGGTTGCTTTCAGGTACTTTGTACTGTGTCCTCTGACGCTGGGACAGGGGTGTCTTTTCCTAGGTGTTGCTGTTATCCCTTCGAGGTGAGTTTTGTGTCACTGGGTATCGAGGAGTGCTGCACTGGGGATGCTGAGGTAAGGGGTAGGGGGAGGGAAGTGCAGCATTAAGGATGCTAGCCTCCAATCTCTCCCAGGGTATCTGTCTTGGCCTTGGGCTCCCAGGATGAACACACCTGTCCTGTTCTGTTTCCTCAGGGCTTCTATGGCGTCCGTCCGTCTGTCCCTGCAGAAGGGGCAGGACTTGGTAACAGGAGACTTAAAGGATCTGGCATCTGGAATCACAAACATGCCATCAGTGTTTCCAGGGCATACTTGAAGCTATTTTAAGTGATGAAAATTTTACGGTATATTTATTTCCTTTTTTATGGTCCTAAAGATAGAAGCAGACCCTATGAATGCTAGATAGGTGTTCTATCCACATTGTCATCTATATCTACCTACACTAAGCTACATCCTCAGCCAGTGATAAAATATCTTTATATAAACGAGAACCTGTATGTAGGTGTTTTGTTTAGGTGAATAGATGGGAAAACATTTGTTTTTAGTGTAGGAATTTCCCATATAATAGATGTAATTCATACACAATTGCACTCATAGATAAAGGAGGCAGTCTCTGAGATTAAGTACAGTTTCGACTACCTTCCATTTCAATCTTCTTGTTTGGTCTTGTTTGTCTGTATGAGACTCGTCATTTATTTGAACATTTTGAACGGGACAGCACCTGTGAACTATGTACATGGCCGTTTTACGGTTTGGCAGCTTCACCATCTTCACTAACAAACTGTGCAGACATCTTGGAGGGATGCATGACTTCATCATGACAGATTTCTATGTAGAGTGCACTCCGCCATTGTCATATACGTCTCACTAGTGCCTCTCTGCAGGTCCTTTATGCTCACCTTGAAAGCCACTAAAAGCTGGGAGGTAGAGGCACACTCCTTTAATCTCAGCCCTTGGGAGGGGGAGGCAGGCAGATCTCTGAGTTTGAGGCTAATCTGCTCTACAGAATGAGTTCCAAGATAGCCAGGGCAACACTGAAAAACAAACAAACAAACAACAAAAAGCCACTACACATTTAACATACATGCTTGTTAGTAAAACTTGATACCTTTAAAGTCAATTGAAATTTTCTTAAGAAAATTTTGCTCACCTTCAGGATTCTAGTTTTCTCACCCAGCACAACAGGAAAACAGTCATACGCATGCCGAATGAACCAGAAAACAAACAAACAAACAAACAAACAAACAAACAAAAATGAGCAGCAAACGTGTATTTTCTTTTTCATGGATCCATGAGAATGAGACTGTGTTGTATGTAGTGTAATCTGACTCGGTGCCATATGGTCCTCTGAGCATTGGGGGTGGAGTGGGACAATCCCATGTCCTTCCACATCTGGAACCTATTACAAAGTCAAATACAAGAGTTACAATCACTGTGAGTAAATAGCTCTGCTTATTGCCTTCTGCAAGAAATTATTTGCTATTACATTTCAACAGTAAAATGACTTCTTAAAAAGCATTTCAAGGCTCGTAATTGTTTAGCCCTATGGATTTTAACGTTTTAATACAGAATAAAAAAAAAAGCACTAAGGAAAAAGGTAAAAAACCAAGCCCAGACTTTTAGTAGTGTGTCACTAAAATGTAGCCTAGAGAATTAAAGTATATGGTTCCCAGCTGCATCCACATTGCCAAATAACAAAAATAATGTACTCATACCTTTGATGGGAATCTCCTTGGGGTCCTGTCTAGCAGTGGCTAGAAGTTATACAAAACACTTACACATGTCCTGTTGGTGCCTTAAAAGTTTATGGTGTGATTCCCACTTCATAGGTGAATTGAAGATTCAGCACTTCAGACATTGTAAGTGGCAGAGAGGGGCTTTAGAATCTCTTCATCTTATTTCCCAAGTTGGACGTTTTCCATGGTAATAAAAATGTAAATGTACTTTAATATTGTTTCCAAAAGCACAGTGCAAAGCAAATGGAAGATCACCCAACGCTGTCAGAAAGTCTATGCCGTGTCGTCCCAAAGTTGCCCCAAAATATTGTCATTGTGCCTATTTAGGTGTCCCTCACACCCCACCCTGAAGTCAAAATTTTAGTGGAATTGTTCTAGTCAGGTAAATAAGTCAAGTGATTCTTTTGACATTGGTAGCTTAAAGATAAGTGATTTTGAGTTGGGAAATGGTTATTTTTCTGTCTTTGCTTGAATTTGGAAAAGGTCTGAAGTTCCAAGCCTTTGGCAAGGCTTGGAGGAAGGCTGAAGTCAAGGACAATGGTTGCTGCATAGAAAACTCAATGGCTGTTTTCCAAAAGGGAGGGACGGTCATATCCTAGGGAGATCATTACCTTTATACCTTGAACAGCCAGGGCCCTCATAATCTAAAAAGAAGCTGTTCCATATGGCCGGCTTTCCCAGCTTGTCATTCCTGAAGTATTTTTTTTTATTATGACACAGTCAATATGTCATTGTAAAACAAAGATGTTTTTCTCTGGATAAAATGCAAACATCAGGTTTCTGCTTGGTGGGCACCACAAGCTTGAACTGTTGGCCCACAAAGGAAAGGATGTGACACTTCAGGCCAAGTTGTCTAAAAGGAAAGGAAGTGTGGACTGTTGAAGAGGCTGATGCAGAAATGAAGGGATGTGAGGATAAGGACTTTACACTAACCCCAGGGACAGGAGGATGAGACATCACTGTAGTCAGATATTTGTATAGACTCATGGTGGATGCTATCACTTATGTCTGGGCTTTGTGCTTTCCTGCAAGATGAGTGGAGTGGGAAGCATGGGATAGCTAGCGATGTTAGTCTGTGAGATAGGGAACAAAGTAGTCCTTCACACTGAATGGTAGATAAAACTCAGAAATAAAGCCGATTGGATTCATTCTAATGCCTATTTCTACATCATTTGGGTATTTCTATGGAAACCATAGCTTCTTGGAGGTTGCATCTCTGCGTATCAGTGTCACTGTAACCAGACTTCTTGAGGGAACAGTTGAAAAGGAAAAAGGATTTATTTGAACCTCATTTCAGACATTCAGACATTCTATTCTTGGCTTCATTGACTCTGGATCTATTGTGAGGCAGAACATCAAGGTGGGATCGTGTGCAGGGGGTAGGCTGCTTACTTCATAGTAGACAGAAAGTACAGAGACTATTACCATCAAAGGGGGACCTCTGGTGACTTACCTCTTCCAGCTACCTCCAACCTCCTCAAGTTTTCATCATGTCTCGAAATGCTGTCATCAGCTAGGGACATGAGCTATGTGAACGTGTGTGGGGGGGGACATTTTATATTCAAACAATAGCTGAAAACCAGTATTCAAGGTAAAAAGAGTTCTGGAAGAACTCAGCAAAAGAAGGAACAAACTCGAACAATATCTCAGTTAGAAATCTTTCCCTAGGCATAGAATTTCAGGGAAACAACTCAGCCTTAATGAGAATCACAAAGGCCCAAAGACAGCATACCAGCAGAGACTACACTGTCCAGTCAGCCACACAGAGCTCACTGCCAGGCCTCCCTTCTGCTTATCCACCTATTACTTGGTTGATAAAGTCCAAACAAATGACTATAGCAATATGTTAAGAGCTGCTGAAAGGTCAACTATGAAACAAATATTAAAAACGAATATTCATTCTTTTAATTCACTGATTAACAGTCACCTAGCCCATTTAAGTTCTTTTGGACCTCCAGATCAAGCAGTCTGGGTCTGATCTTGTCTACACAGTTCCAGAATGAAAACTGCCAACCCTCCTCTTTCCTTGGAGAGAGCACTTGAAGACGTGTAGTCAAGACCTTTATAGACCAACTTGAGAAAGCTTTGGAGATAGGTATCTAGGTTTAAGTTTCTAGTTTGTTACTATCAAGCCACATCGAGTGCTTGTGAATCTGGAGTGGAGGAGACCGAGCAGGACATTGTAGATGCTTAGTATTGAGATTACATTATCTGTGACACCCAAATACTCCGAGAGGCTCACAATGCCTGAACAGGGCTCTAGCAAATGCTTACTATATTATCTAGAAGAGAATAAAATTCTCTGGGAGATATTTCCAGTTACCCTGAATTCTCTCATCTTTAGATGACAGACTGAAACAAAATTCTTCTCAATTCACTCTCTAGCTGATTACTGAATGTATTTTCCTTTCCTCTCTGCCAGGAAGATGTTCTTAAAAAGGAACAGTAAGTTTGGTGATGGTAATGCATGCTTTAATCCAAGCACACAGGAGGTAGAGGCAGGTAGAGGCCAGTTCTGAGTTCGAGGCCAGTCTGGTCTACATAGGGAGACCCAGCACAGCCTGGGCTCCACAGAGAAACTTTGTCTCAAAAAGCAAAACAAAAAGCTAGAGAAGGAGAGTGTGTGAATACATGGAGTTGGAGAGATGGTCCTGTGAGTAAGAGTCCTTACTGCTCTTACAGAGGACCCAGGTTCAGTTCCTAGCACTCACAAGGCGGCTCACAATCTCCAGAACTCCAGTTCCAGTGTGTCTGACATCCTCTTCTGGCCTTG